AGAGGAATGGCCTGCCGCCTGCTGGTGTGCCTTGCGGCCCAATGTAAAAGCCTTTCTTCTTTTTGCTCAATTGTTGCCGTAGAGCGCGCGCGACGGGAAGGTCTCGAGAGTGGCGATCTCACAGGCAAGTCTGCACGAGGATGCTTGCGCGCGGCGCGGCCATCGTGCTCGGCGGAGGGGCGGACGGCCTGCGCCATGGCACCGGAGTGCCGGGTGCGGCCCAGCGGCCCAGCGGCCCGCTTTTTTTGTTGTTGTCGACTTCTGCCCGGCACGGCGGCTCAATTTAGAGCCGCCACTGGCGAGGGCTTGTCGTTGGCTTCGGTGAAGGCCCGACGGCGGAGTTGGCGACGGTGCGGGGAGTCGCGGAGCGCGACGCTCCTCGCGGGGCAGCGCGCGGGGTGGGGGCCTCATTGGGGGCCTGAGTCGGCGCCGCGGCTCCCGTGCGGATGCGCCGGGGCACACCGCAGGCGCCCGGCTTCAGCGTCCCCGGCAGCAGACGGCGCGCGTGCGTTAGACGCCGTGGACTATCCGGCGGCGACCCCGGCGTCACGGAGGAAGAGCTTCCGAGTCTCCTGAGGGAGAACTTGGCTTCCCGAGGCGCCGTGACCGCGACCGCGTCTCCCGCAAGGCCTTCGACAAGACACGCCTCGGAGAATAGGCGCGGGTCTTCTTCTGGGAGGCGGCCGGGGGTTGCGACGTACACGCACCCGTCCGCGGGCCGCACTACGGGGGGTGGCACCGGGGATCCGCGTGGAGAAGCGCGCCGGCAGGCTCGACGGGGCCCGGGGCTCTCTAATGGCGGCGTCGCCCAGCCAGCTCCCGGACGTGTTGCAGGTCGTTTCCCCCATGCCGGCGAATCCGGCCCGCGCAGAGTGGCGTGGGGAAACTTTGTTTCCCACGCCCTCACCCTTCGCGGCGCAGGGGCCGCGGCGGAGCCAGCGTGGCGGGCAAGTGGCTCCGCACCCAGCTCCGAACCCCAGGCGCCGCAAGCACGCACCCGGTGCCGCGCAGCAACGACGTCCGGAAGGTCTTTCACGGGCCACGGCGAATGCGCAGCCGGATTTACCAGGCGGCGCGGGGGGCCACGAAGAAGCGGTCGGCCGCGCTCCCACGACGCGGGCAGGCCAAACGCGACCGAGGTGGCCGCGTGTGCCCCAAAAAGGGGGAAGAACAACGCACGGCCCAGTAAGAAACACGGGGGCATTTCCCACGACGCGCAACGCGGCCCGCAGGGAGAGAGCGGGCGGGAGCGGCGCGCTGTGTCGCCGCCGGCGGGGAAGGGAGACGGGCGCGGGCAGCAAAGGGGCGGGGAGGGAAAACGAGGAAGCTAGCCACAGGTGCG